TTCATTCATTTGAATGATTAATAATTTTTAATCCAAACTTTGAAACATAATTTTAATGTTGTGTATGACAATTGGCTTTTCTACTCCAAGTCTCTAATAGAGACTTGACTGACCACGAGTAACTTAAACAAATGTGTAATTATTTCTACTGAATAATGACTGTTTGGTCGGCGGTGTCGTCGGCAGTGCCCGTCAGTCCCTCATTAGCCCTTCTTATGGCCAGCTTTGTTGTGATGGTCTTTAGTCTGGATTCGTGTCGACCTTAAGTTATGTTCAAATTTGTTAACAATTATTGTGTAATTGTATGTCAAAATATTTACGTTTTTTGATGCAATATATGATGAGACAAAGTACTGATATAATTGCAAAACAGGCAATAATTACCAAAATAAGTCCATAAATGATTACTTCATCAGATCTGTCCCTTTCGTGGTTCACATCTGAAAGGACTGGACTTATGTACAGAATTGCAGACAAACTAATTATATACAAAATATACATTTTATGCCACTAATTAATAAACACTCAAAATTTTATAAATCAACCAAACTTTTAAATTCTAATCGATAAATACTATTTGAATTTAACATTTAATTTTCAAAATCTGATTTATCACGCGATTTATTGTAAACAGTCTGATAATTATTTTTATTAATTGTCGGTAAATATAGTTAATTAAAATTTAGTTAATTTCAACAACCAATAGCGTATGAAAAAGAAATGATTTTCAAACAAATATAAAATATAATAAGTAAGTTTATTACATATGGTTTTTATTATAATTAAAAAATTAACAATTGAATAATGGGTTCGATGGCAACCATTGCGTGCACTAAAATGTATACAATTAAAGGCAAATATAAGAATAACATTAGTGTTTGTCTTCATTTTGAATGATATAAATTGAATGCTCACACAATCGGTCTTCTCTTCGTTACAACTCCAAGCCCTCAGACAATAGGAATCGCCTCTAAATAAGTATATATTATCGGGATTTATATAATAAGCTGCGGTCACACCCGTCGG